CCCCCCACCCACACACAGACACACTTTTAAGATGTGATTACGCCCTTGGTGGCCTCAGCCTGGTGCTTAGAACATCTAGGCATGGTCACCTTACCTGCCTAGAAGGTTGAAGGTCATTGCTACATTCGGCGTGCTACTGGGCCAACCGAGCCACCCTCACTGCACAGGGCCTCCACCAGGTGATCACGTCCGAGGCGGGCATGGCACAGGTCATGGCCATCGCCTACCTGGAGCTCAACTCCACAACCTGCACAACAGTGGGAGCCATCCATGTCTGAAAACAAACTAAATGCATAGCAGGTAGGAAGTGCAGGCTACGACTGGGAGAGGGGCAGGGACTGCTACCGACACCAGCCACGTAAAAAAAAATAAACAGGAGCTGACACCATCACCTACATTCAGAAAGAACAAAGAAACAAAACTGGGAGAGGATGTGTACGCACCGGTGATACACGAGGCCCCTGAGCTGAAACCTCAATGAAATGAAGCAACTGGATCAAAGAGTGGGCAAAAATCCCTCTACAACCCTATGAGAGACTGATAAAATGTAAAAATACCTCATGCTGATGCCAGGGTGGAAGATTTTTCTCTAGCAGAACCTTTTCTGTAGCTTAATGAGCTGATTTCTGTCAATGGTTAGAATGTGACAAGTCATTTTTGTTCATTTTACAAATGATGCCAACAAAACATTTAGAAACTTCTGGAACATTTGTTAAAACCTAAAACACAGAAAATCTTCATATTTATTCCTTTCCTGACAAAAAGATCAGTTCAACCGTTCCACTAAGGACAACAATGTTAGAAGAACAATCATGTTATGTCATGTTGAAGTGTCTGGGTCATGAAATATTCAGAGTGACAGCTGATGTTGTATTAGCAAAATATCTGATGAACCACTGGGTCAATTTTACACACTTGTCAGAACGTAACCATTGGCTTTACATCTACAAATGGTTAATTTCTGCAGTCACCTCAGTTTAAAATGACCTAATCCAACACATAATTTCTTCAGATGAGTGAATTTTACAGATACTGAGGTACAGTCTGGTGTGGTAGTAGCTGAGAGTCATCCTCAGTTTATAGTCCAAGTTCTCCAAGATCCTCATGGATAAACATCAATTTAATGGTTTGTCCTAAAGCTCCATCATTTCTCCTCATAAAATGAACTGAGATTTGAAATGTGGTACAGGTGGGTGGCGGGTGATATGTATTCCTTCAGGAAACACTAGGCCTTTGATAAATCTATCCAGAACCATTACCTAGAACAGTCGTTCCCAAAGTTGGGGCCGGGATCCACAGTGGGGT